AAGGTATATGAGAAATGAATTTTAATTTTCTGGATCCAGGACTCATATAACCATTAAAATGGAGAAATGTCTCCTGATTTCTCAATTTACTTCATTTTTGTTAAAAAATGCATTATGGCATGCCTGCGTGGCTCAGTTAAGCTTCCGACTCTGATTTCCTCTCCGATCATGATCTCAGGGTCATGAGAACAAGCCACACATCAGACTCTGCACGAGGCAGGGAGTCTGCTTCTCCCCCTCTCTCCCTCTGCCCCTCCCCCCACTCATGGGTGTGCACATGCTCTCTCTCTCTCTCTCAAATAAATAAATAAATTTTTTAAAAAATAAGAAATAAAATTTAAAAATTTAAAAATGCATTGTTTAAATTGTCGATAGCATCAAATACATGCATGATGATTGAGGTAGTTCAACATACATTTCAGGCTGTTGAGGATATATAAGTAAATGATAAAGAAAAATATAAACATTGGCCAATAATATATATTCCTTATGCATTAGCCAGGCAAATTTGATTGGCAGAAGCTTTCAATATGTCATGCGTTCATACATTTATCTATTGAAAAAGTATTAAGTGCCTCTCTGCCAGGTACTTCATCCCATCTTTAGGCAAAACAGCAGAGACATCTATTCTGTACACACTATTAATTACAAAGGAAAAAACAATAACTTTATAATTAAGGTCGTCAGCTTAAGTGACGAAAGTTTGCACCAACAGTAATGGGCAAATTGGCATTCTTGCTTCCTGGCGTGTTGTATGCAGATAAACTCGGCCTTGCTTCAGTAATATTCTATTACATGAGAAAACATCAGGCAAACCCGTATTGAAGGTCATTCGACAAAATAACTGGCTTGTACTTTTAAAAAATGCCAAGGTTATGAAAGATAAAGAACAGACTGAGGAACTGTTCTCCACTGAAGGTGACTACAGAGGCATGACAACTAAGTGCAACCCTTACTGCTTAGATCCTGGATGAAAATTAAAAAAAATAAATTTTGCTATAAAGAGCAATTGTTCGAAATTTAAATGTGATTTGTAGGTTAGATAATAGTAATGAATACTGCTTTCCTGATTATTATGGTTTTACTGTGGTTATATAGGAGAGGGTCTTTTTTAGGAAAGTGACAAATATTTGGGGGTAATAGGCATCTTGTTTGCAGCTGGCTCAGAAAAAAAGCTATATAGAGATTTAAAAAGAAACTATAAAGCAAATGTGGCAAAATATTAATATCTGAGAAATCTGGGTGAAGAATTCTAAATTTGTACTAATCTTGCAATTTTTTTTGTAAGTTTGAAATTATTTGTAAATTAAGTTAAAAAAAAGAGGTACAGACTCAGCATAAAGTAAAAGTTATTTTAAGTAGGAAAAAATGTCCATGCTTTTGTACTGAATAAAAGAAAAATATAAAGAGGTATAAGAACTATATTGGCTTAACTGTCTTTGTTGCCCACGCTCATACGGTAACCAAAGTTAGCTTAGTTTGTGTTCTTCCTTTCTCCATGTTCAAATAAATGTACACAAACATATATACCTTATAGTTTGTTTTTAAAGATTGATTTATTTATTTGAGAGAGAGAGACAGAGACAGAGAGCATGCACACCAGAGGAAGGGCAGAGAGAGAAGGAGAGAATCTCAAGCAGACACCCCGCTGAGCACGAGCCCGACGGAGGGCTCAATCCCAGTACCCTGAGATGGTGACCCAAGGCGAAATTAAGAGTCAGTCGCTTAGCCAAACTTTCCTCTTTCATATATCAAGTTCACATAATACTTCTTTGTGTATTTGATCTTCTTATTTTGTTCCACCATTCTATTCCCTTGTTCCTCTGCCAATACCATACTGCTTAATTAAAGTACCTTTATGGTAAATTTTAATATTTGATAAGTCAAGAGCAGCATATTTTTTTTTAATGTTCTTGACTATTTTTATAGATTCATTTTTCCATATGAACTTTGACATCATTTTATCTGGTTCCAAAACATGTGAGATTCAAATAGACACTACATTACTAATATTATAGAGTACTTGATTTTTATATGAAACTTCCCATCTGGAACACAACCTCTTTTTCCATTTGTTCAGTATTTGCTTTGTGTTCTTCAACAAGATTTTATAATTTCCTTCATATACATTCTATGTGTTTCTTGCTCAATTATTTCTAAGTATTTTTATCATTCCTATTATGAATTTTTATATTACTGATTACATTACTATATTATTTTATTACCCATTACCGATTATTGCAAATACAGAGAAAATATACATCTCTAAATCTACCTTGCATTCCTCCATCCCAGCTCACCCACTCTCACCTGTTGCTTCTGTTAGAGCCCCGCTAACTTCCCACAGGCCAGCAGGCTCTTCCCCTTGTTTGTTCTTTGGCTGACTCCTTTTCATCCTTTAGGTCATTTTACTTCAATGTCCTCTCCTCAGTCTCTCTTTTCCTCCATAGCACCCATAACAATTTGCATTTATATATTTCTATTTCTGTAGATGTGTCTTTTCCTGACTTGATTTTAAACCCATGAAAACAGGAAACATTTTGCTCAAGACTATATATAGGATCTAACATTATGAGGCTACACGGTAAACATTTGTGGGCTTAGTGGATAAATCCTTTCTTATCATCTTATATACTCCCTGTCCAATGTCTTCAGTTTCTTCTCCACATGCTACCTCTCCTAATCTTCAAACCATTTTAAGTTCACTTTATCTTAAAACTTGAGCCATGACTCCTGGTCACCTTCTATTTTTCCTTCATCTGCCAACATCATTCCTACTTTTACCCGAATTTGTTTTCCACTCCAGTCTCCTACTGAACCTGTATCACCATGACCTCAGGAAGTCCAGGAGCCAGGTGTCAATCCCTATTATCTTCAGCTTCGTCATTTATGGCAACTTGTAACTTAAAATTTTTCTTCTAGTTTAGCTTGTGTTTGCTTATCCCCTTACTTGCTCTCGCCTCTCCTGATTTCTGCTGGTTTGACGTCTCTGCAGTCCCCCTGAAGCGCTCAACTCCACTTACAGCATTAAAATGTCCATTTATTAATTCAACAAAAATAAGTTGAGTGACTACCAATAGGGCATTGTGTTAAGTGTTGTGCATCACATTGAACAACACAGCAAGTACTTGTCCATCTAGAGTTTAGGTTCTAGTAGGGAGATCGAAAGTAAACAAAGAATCACGCAAGTAATCATTTGGCTACATACAGTTGGGTTAAGTGCCAAAAGGAAAAGTACAGGATGCGGTCTGGGTGGCTCCTGAAAAAGTACATTTAACGTCGGTCATGAAAGATTGATAGGAATTTTTTTTTTTTTTTTTTCTAAACGGGAGAGCTATTTAAGCTTTATTGGACCTAAGGTGAGAAAGAACTTGGGATCTTTAAGAAACCATGCAGTGGCACTAGAATGGAGAGAACAAAGCAAAAATAGATGAAGCTAGAGCCAGAGAAGACACACGTGTGTTTTTTTCTACACTACAACACTACACTGTAATAGTTCTGTTGAACAAGCACCCACTTGGTAGCGGGCATCACATTCAGTCCTTTATAAAAGGTATTGTAATTCTCTTTAGAGTTAGGAATTTATACTCCTCTTTACATTAGAAAAAGGACTAGAGAAATTAAATAATTTATCCATAGGATTATGCTTCTAGAAAGGAGTGGAAAAGATTATCTTTATGCATTGTAACACGGTGAAAATAATTTACTTTTATTTTTTATTTTTTTTAAGATTTTATTTATTTATTTGACAGAGAGAGACACAGTGAGAGAGGGAACACAAGCAGGGGGAGTGGGAGAGGGAGAAGCAGGCTTCCCACGGAGCAGGGAGCCCGATGCCGGGCTCGATCCCAGGACCCTGGGATCATGACCTGAGCCGAAGGCAGACGCTTAACGACTGAGCCACCCAGGCGCCCCAATAATTTACTTTTAAAAAACCCCTGGTCACAAAGCCAATCTTTAAAATTTCCTTTTACTTTATTTTTACCTCCTAAGGTTTAAAATTAGAATTAGAGACCCAAGTGAACAAGAAATGGGTAAGAAAACCAGAAAGAAACTCCTTCAAGTAAACCTCTCAAAGACAAGATACACATTGCAAACTTTTGCATCTTTCTCTAATAATTAATCTGATGAGTCTGTTTTAGTTTGTCATTAATTGTATTAGAGACCTACATGTAATTAAAAATAGATAATGTAACTCCGTGGAAGTTTTTTGATTAAGGGTTTTATTGCAGTTGTCATCCTTTTGTACCAATTCAGTGGTAAATATAGCTGCACCAATTAATAATACATTAAACATATCTGCCCAGTATTGACTTTTTATACTAACAAACATACTTTTGAAATAAAATTTGTAACTAGTCAAACACTTTCTTGTGGTTAAAATTTACTGTTACTATACGTGCGTGTGTGTGTGTACATACACGCAGTCAGACTAAAGGTTCTTTCATACAAATCACAGGTTATAAAATTAGCTTTTCTTCACCACAATCTATTTGGAATGTGATCCTGATGTGAAAGGTAACCCATCATTCTACCATCAGCCTGGAGGATTTTACCCCTAAAAATCTTTTAGCCTCAACATTTCAGCTGTAGAAAGTAATCTTTACTTTTTATGTGAAAAGAGCATTCAAACTATTTCTAATATTGTTAGCAGTGTATTACGGTGATAGGAATGGAATCTGTTGCCTAAACTTTGGACTTATAATTTGAGAGGACTTCTCTTATTCAAAGACAGAAAATGATGTGCTGAAGAGCAGGAACATGTGAAGAGGTACCTTAGTTTAATGCATATTTATTAAACTACTTAGCATCTGTCAGAGCTCCATTATCACCCTCAACTGTTTGAAGTCTTAGGCCTCTCCCAAAATGGTAAAGTCATGGAAATGAACAAGTAACTGTTTCTTCTGTAGGTTAAATGTTAAGTGAAATAAACAATGGCCGACTTTAGGAGGGGAAAAAAATCACAGATACACAAAAATTTTATTGTACCCATTTTTTAATTTTATATTTTTATTTATATTAGGGTATTATACAATTTTCAAAGCTAACAACAGAATCTTCTTAGTATGTGTATCTGAAGCATAACAAAATAAAAGTATTTCACAAAAGAAGTCCATATTACAGTACTATTGAAATATGAGGCATAGGATAATTACGCATTTGTGGGTTATAACATAATACATTCATTTTAAAGAAAAAACATTTAATATGAATAACATTTTGGTTAAAATAAATATCATGTAAATGTTAACAGCAACACCTGAAGTATATTGATACAAGAAAGGTGTTTTGTAATAGGTATTATGTAAAATGGTAAAGCATTCATGAAATGGCTGTAATATCTTACTAAATTTACAATCATTGCACATTGTTGAGCACTTTATATAGGAATACCCTTCATCCACCATTCCTAAACCTCAGCATACAAAACAAAGTTACCCCACATTTTCTTCTGGGGAACTGGTACCAATGTCTAAATAAGGTTTAGAATCCCATGTACCTTTCATTTTACTGTTTCCCAATTCAATTCAAATGTTTTACTTAATCAGTACAAAATTTACTTATAAACAGAAATAGAGAGAGAATATTTCATAGGTGATTACAAAAAATTAAAACTTCTAATCATCTTCATAATTCTTTGAAATGATCTCATTCAAAATTAAAACTTGTTGTTTACACAGTGGTTTCCTCAGGAAAAAATATGAACACTTAGACAGGAAAAAGATACAATACCCAAAACAAGAAGTTTCCACATGTATAAAATAATAACGGATTTCCCTGATCACTAAATTCTTCTCAGCTATTTCCTTCTAGCAGAGAGATTCACTGAAAAGAAAAGCTTAAATCTTTGCTTAATAGTCACTGTGAGGGGTTAAGCAAATGAATTTTAGATTCATGTATTTTTAAAGATTGCAAGAAAAAGGGAGATTATCTGTTCCAACTACAGAACAATTTCCTCTCAATTATATTATAATAAGATGAACATGATACTAATGGTCAACAAGAACAATTCTACTTGTTCATACTTCTGGAGACAAATCTATGGATGCTCAGTGTAAAAGTTGTAAGTAACTGGAATCTGGTAAAAACAATGTATCTGGCCCTCATTTAAAGGACCACCCAGGTGCCCTCTGTCTATCCCAAGATAAAATTACCCTTCAGACACCATAACTGATTACATTCTGGAAGAAAAAAAAGTTTATGCTTTTTCCCTTATAAAGTTTTACAAATGACTTGAAAGTACTCAAATGAGTGTAAGAAAAATACTTATATGAGAAGACAAAACCAGCAGTTACATCAGCTAAAGGTAAGTATTCTCCAAACATGAGGTTTTCACGTTGGCAGGATTATCCATCCCACGGTTTTATAGGGTGGCGTGGCTTCCTTGAACGGTGACTGCCACTCGGCCTTTTGGCTTTCACAATTCTGTGAAGAAGTGGTCACCACTAACATGAAGGCATTCAGGGAAAACATCTCCACGACAGCATTTACTAAACTCGGCCTATTTCCTTAAACTAAATGAAGCGTTACCATCTCTGTCATCTTCATGCATGAATACAGTACTTTGCTTAAAAGCTTCTCAACAGAAATGTTAATCTTATAAAAATTCTGGCTGTGGTAATGGCCAGTTTTCATTGCTTTAAACATATTCTAAAATTACAACCTGTCAAATGCATTGAAACTGTGTCAACATTCACAGGTACAGTGCAACACACATCCTTTCTTCCTCTCTAACAAGACAAAATACACACATACAGGGTGGCCCAAGTTTTAAAAAGTTAAAAAAAAATGTTTTTAATCCAGGAAAAGTATTGGTATACTAAATATTTTTAAAGGGTACTATGTTCTCAGAAACTCTGAAACATAATGGATAAAATGCACATACAATATAAATAAGAAAGTAACTTGAAGAATACAAAAAAATTTCTGAAGGGGACCAATTGGAACTTCAATAAAATCTATGAATAAAAACATGCTTACACGATAGTGTACAATTATGAAGAGAGAATTTAAATTTATAAACAACTTGAAATATAGTACTGCAAGATTATTCAAAGATTTTTCAAAAGTACAAACAATAATAAAAACACACAAAAAAAAGCCTCGGGCAATGTGCAACTTTCAAAATTACTATCACACCAGCCAAACAAATCCTTAACCACTTTTTAAATGGATTCATTTATACCATTGTAATGCAAAGAGACTATCAGAGATATTAAAACAAAACAAAATAAAGCAAAGAACTCTTCAGTGTCTGACTCACATTTTGTCCCCCAATTTTTTCACATTTAAGAGTTGCATTTTGAATGTATAAGCTAAGAATTTTAAGTGTTTCTCAAATAGTTTATGTCTACATTTACCTTAAGAATTATATTTGAAAGCTACAATGCTAAGAACTAAAACACATACTTCAAACTTTTAAAAATAAAATAATCACAAAAGTTCACAATTGTGTTAATCTCAAATGTCCATAAATGACGAAAAAGCAAACAAGTCACATGTTCAGATACTTTTCCTCAGGTGACAAGTCTATCTTGATGAGTGCCAAGCTACACCTTCAATATTTGGCACTGAGAGTCTATCTGAACACAATTTATCAGCAAAAAAACCCAAAAAAACAAAAAACAAAAACTAAATAATTCTAAAAACCTTTAGCCATTAAAAACCATTAAGTTTCATTTACTCTCCTAACATGCAATCTGACTATCCAAAGTCATTTGGGGTTTGCAAGAAGGCGACTTAAACTGGTACAAAATGAAGCTTATATGAAAACTGGTTAAGGATTCAAAGCACATTAGCTCTGAAAGATTCATCTTAACACCCAGACAAAAACGGGGAGGTATGATTTGCACAAAAATACTTTAAATTATTTTGGTTATGTTCTTCATGATCCTCCACATATTTAGCTGCTTGCGGTGCACGCGTGCATCCTCTTGGCTACGTCATAAACATAGGTGATGTCTGGTCGCTTCTCTGGATCTGGGTTGATGCACATATTCACTAACTGTCGTAGCTACAGAGAAAGAAAATACAAAATGCTTTAAAAAACCATTTCAGTTAGCTATTACCAATACTCTGACTAGATAGAGATTTACAAGGAAAGTACATTTTGTGACTAAATACTCCATATGTGGAATTTGGGAATCAAAACAAATGAGCAAAGGAAAAAAAAAGACAAACCAAGAAACAAACTCTTAACTACAGAGAATACTGTTGGCGGGGGGATGGGCAAAATCGGTGAGGGTCCGGATCAAGGAGTGCACTTATGATGAGCATTGAGTAAGGTATAGAATTGTTGAATCACTACATTGTACACCTGAAACTAATTTAACACTGTATGTTAACTATACTGGAATTAGAATGAAAAAACTTAAAAAAAAAAAGAATATATATGACTACTGTCAACAATTTTACAATTAGTTGAAAAGTCTAAGAAGTATGTATAGTCACTGGTTGAGTATTAATGTCAAGCAAAAAGTAGTGTCTACAGTAAGAGGCTTTAAAATGATTTTACTATTTTTCAAAGAAGTTTATCAGAAGACAGCAGTCATGAAGGACAACAGGTTTTTAGCTCTGAGGCTCTAAATTAACTGTAGATATGTTATACACATTTATTTGATCTAGAATGTACTACATTAGCCTTGATTATAAGTTTAAATTTTCATAATTATATACAATATATCTATAGATCTAAATTTATATGAGGCATAGGGTAGATTAGCTCTCATATGCACTTATCATAAACCATTTTATATAAATATAAAATGTTTTTATTAGTTTCATATTAAAGAAAAAGCACTCTTCTAAACTTAGAATAATAAATTATAAGCAAGATAAATTACGAATAGTATTCTAATACTTAACTGCATGAAGCAGTATTAGCATCTTCACTTTATAGATGAAAGAGCTGAAGTTTACTTATTTACATTACAGAAAATAAGCACACTTCAATAAATTAAAAAAGAAAAAAATCCTTCCATCTAGTCCTAGAGCCACTGAGTAGAAGTATATGGAATTTCATTTTCAATTCCAACTGCCATCAGTTTATGATACTATGTGTCTTCGTAACACTGTATGTGGTCGTTCACAGATGATAAGCCAAATAAAGAGGAAGAGCCAGATTCTTTGGCTTTGTATGCATGTCTTGAGGAATAATTTAGATATTTTGAAAACTCGCATTAATTCTTTCTGGCCAGTTATTAGCATGTAGTAAATGTTAATGGTAATATTACACCCACTGAGAGGGTCTGAGGATTTCAAATTATATTCCTTGCAATGCAGCAGACAACAGCATTAAACATCCTTAAGGGGTACAACAATACACAAGGCATTTTATTATGGTGATCTAAGAGAAATTTAAATCAGAAAGAGGTTGGCATTTTACCCATTAAAATAAAAACAAATACATCCAATTATACACAATACAGAAAACAGGAGGAAAAGCATTTATAATGATACTTGTATTTAAAAAGATAATGTATTCTAACAGGTCACCTAGTTGTCAGATATTTTGTTTAGAGATAAAAATGACAAAAGCAGCAGAGAAGATGATAGAAAAAGATAACTGTGGTACAAAAATTCATTCTATTTAACCAGGATACACATAGATGTAATGGCAATTTTTGACTGAATAAAACTACCACATCCTTCAAACCGGTCCAGAAGCCTCATCTTTCCAGCCTAATAGGTCAGAATTGGGTGAAATTTCCAACCTACTGTAGCAAAGGGTCCTCAAGTTCTCCTGCCCAGAAAAGAAAGTGCCCAAGAGGGGCGCCTGGGTGGCTCAGTAATTAAGCATCTGCCTTCAGCTCAGGTCATGGTCCCTGGGTCCTGGGATCGAGCCCAGCCTCGAGCCCAGCATCGAGCCCTGCATCGAGCTCAGCATCGAGCTCAGCATCGAGCCCCGCCATCGAGCCCCACATTGGGTTCCCTGCTCAACGGGAAGCCTGCTTCTCCCTCCCCCCACTCCCCCTGCTTGTGTTCCCTCTCTCACTGTGTCTCTGTCAAATAAATAAATAAAATCTTAAAAAATAATAAATAAAATTTTTTAAAAAAGAAAGTGCCCAAGATTAAAGATAGCTGGATATAAATTTAGTTGAAGAGGACAAAGATTCTCCGGTTCTCCAAAGTGGAAGATGAGAACCAGATGTAGTAAAGAATACAGTAAATGGGGAGGGAGTGGCGAGGGCGCCTGAGCCGCTGCTTTATTACCCCTCCTTCCGGACAGCCTTCCTAAGGACTGACAGGAGAGTCAGAAACACTACAGTAGACAGAGCCAGAGCAATACCGCCCTTGCTTTTCCTCTTTCTTATGTGGTTCGATCTTCATCTGAAGTGTAGTTCATTGTGTCATAAAGATTTATCTTTTCCAGAGAAGTTTCTAACAAGTCACGTAGTATAAAATCATATACGACATAAAATATGCATACCTCAGTATATTTATGAATCAAATAATGTTGATAAATTTTTTCCTAAATTATCTAATAAGCAAATTAATAAACTATGAAAATAAGATCCTTTAAAATTAAAATATGCTTTTAGTAGCGATTCTCACTCATCTAGAGTAGAGCACTGTGCTGGCATCTGGGGACACTGAGGGTAAATGAGGGTAAAGAACCAGCCCAGAAAGGAAGGCCTATTGTCCAGGATGGGGTGTGAGAGAATGACTCATTTTCCTTCCTGACAATCTGACCCCTCTTTCCTTTCTACCTCTCCCTTCTCCATTCATTCATTCATTCAATAAAATCTTATTGAGCATTTATTATGTGCCAGACACTTTATTACAATGGTAGTAAGGATAAAGCAATAAATGAAATATACATGGCACCTGCCTTTGGACAGCTTACAATCTAGTGGGGGAAGAAGAACTGGCAAAGAAGTAAATGTGAGACTGAGGGAGACTGAGGAAATCATATAACTAATTCTATTATAAACTACAAAGTGAGAGGTATCTCAAGAGATATTTGTGAGATAGTTAGAGGCAAAAAGACTGTAGATGGCCGCCCAGAAGAGACAATCATTACTTTCCTCTTTTTCCTTCCATCTACCTAACTCCGAGTTGTTCCATCTCATTCACTGAGGACATCCAGCTAACAGCATTCTTCATCCCAAGTACAACAACCACACCTTTGGTCACTGTGACGCCCATTTGGATCCTCTATCCGAAACAAACTTTTTGATTACATGGCCTTAATCTTCACTTTCATTCCATTTTAGTCTCTGCCTCCCAGGGGTACAGCCTAAGTCTTACAATGTCCTATGTCACGTAAGAAATGTGGGCACAAGCTCCTGCCCTTCCAGGGCTCACACCTGTCCCCCAGTATGGTTGTGCTTTGATCTGAGACCATTTCCAATACCTTTCCTCCTCGTCAATCATCTGCTTCTGGATTTACGTCATTCATTTCCAGGCTAGACCTCATAGCACAATCCTTTAACCACTTCTTTGGCAGCACCATTAATAATCCTTTGTCTTTTCACAATATCAACCCTGACAATTGTTTTGTTTGCTTCTCTACCAGGATGTGAAGGACTGCTGGAGAAAACTGCAGACTCCGTATAGTCTGGAGTCACCAGATTCATGGTTCCAACTGTAGTTAGACCTTAAAAGCTGTTCTGTAATCCAAATGTTTTGCCTGATAAACTCCATTTCCCACAATGGCTAATTTCAACCTTCACTAATCTGTAGTCACCGTCCTCAATTCTTTTTTACCTCCTACTTCACAGAGAAAAATCAACAGGTTTAAGCTTTCCTCAGTATCTCAACCTAACCTATCAATATCTGATCCATATCATCTCTGTTCTAGCATCAGAAGAATATTGTTTTCCTACTACTCTCAATTCTACCACTGGGATCTCTTCCAAGAAATTATACATTATACACCATTATACATTAGTACCTGAAATATAGTTTGCTATGAATGAGTATTCAACGAGTGAATATTCTGTCTATTATTACTCTTCCATATTTTCAACCTCTCCTCATTTGCTGATTTCTTCATCATAGTCTGTAAGCATAGTCAAGTTTCTCTTCCTAACCACTGCCCCATCTAATGTATTTACTCTACAGCCAAATTTCTTCGGGGTGGAAAAACAAAAAAACAAAACAACCCACTATCCTTACTATATCAACTTCCTTAATCTACTTATCTAAGCCAACTATAATCACTTTTTCATCTCCTCCACCCCCCAAGAGTACTCCATTGAAATCACTCTGGCAAAGCTTAGCAGCATTTCCAATTTGCTAAATCTAACAAACTCTTTTCTGTCTACCGCTTACTCAACCTTTCTGCCTGGCTGATGCTTCTGATCACAGCCTTGCTGGGAGTTGCCTCCTCCTCTGGCTCCAAGACTCCTTATTGGTTCTCTCATTTCTCTGACTTTTCCTTCCTTTGGAGGTTTAGCTTCCTCTGGCAGTCCCTCTACTGTCAGCGAGCTCCGAGGTTCATTTCTTTCCTTAGCTCTTTTATCTTCTCTCTCTCCCCCTTTCTGTCCTATACAACTTTTACTTACTCCCATGGCTTTAATAACTGCCCACACAACACGCTGAGGAACACACATCCATATGTATCTTCAGGCCAGACCTCTTCATGGGCTCTATTCATATATTTCTGCCTGGCTTCTGAGCATATCTATCTACGAATACCTCATATTAAACATGTTCGGAACTGAGATCTTATTAATTTCCTCCCCAAACCAGTTCTATCTTGGCAGTGCCTCCAATTTCTCAAGCCAGAAATCTAAAATTCATAGGAGACACTTCTTCATACTTCCTCCCCCTGGCCCAACAATCATCAACCAAGTCTTATTGTTTCCTGACTGTCTTTCTTCTTGCCTTAGGCTCCACTGCTTACACTCAAGGGATAATCTTCCCACTGACAGTTTTACCTCCAGTTTCTTCCAATCTCCCTAGCACTGCCTGTAAACACCAAGTTGACCACACTTCAACATTAAACATTTCAATGTCTCCCCACTGCCCTCTACAAAGTCTAACCATTAGCATGGTTTATTATGGGCT